TTTCCAAAAAATCGATTTTGGTTTTTGGTGTAACTCTGAAACAAATTAACGTATATACATGAAATTTTCACTGGTTGTTTATATTTGCATTTTCTATACACGATAACATTTTCAAAATATTTTGATTTATTTTGAACTGTTTAGGGACATTTTCATTTTTCATTTTTTTTTAGTTTTTTTTCTAGAAATATCAATAAAATTTTATTTGTTGGTTGCGAAAGCTTGAAAATTTAATAGAAGGCTCCTAATATATTGTTTCAAAGGCAGATGAAAAATATTAAAAATCCTTAGTCACAATTTTTTTTTATAAGCATTTATAGTTCAAAAATTGACAAAATATGGAAAAATCACAAAAATTAGCAAATTATTTTGAGTTAAGAATTCGTAAAAATTTTTCTTTTAAAATCTAAGATTTGAAAATTTAATATAAGATTACTCATAAGTTTGTCTACCTTTATCAATAAAAAAATCTCTACCGGACAGTCAAATTAAATTTTTATGAGCGTTTGAAATTCAAATTTTTACAACATTGGATGTTCACTGGATTTCTCATGTAGCGATTTCCTTATTTTGTTGTAATTCAAAAACGAATAACTGTAGATACATGAAAATTTCACTGAATGTTTATATTAGCATTTCCTATACACCATACAATTTTGAAAATATTTTGACTCTTTTTGAGCTGTTTATGGACATTTACAGCTTTCAATTTTTTTTAGTTTTTTTTTTCTATAAATATCAATAAAGTTTTATCTGTTGGGCCAAAAAGTGTAAAAATTTAATACAAGGCTCCTGATATATTGTTACAATATCAGTTGAAAAATATTAAAAATACATAGGCACGATTTTTTTTTATAAGCATTTAAAGTTGGAATTTTGACAACATTTATCAAAATCTCGAAAATTATCAATCGTTGGAATTAAAAAATTATAAAATGTTCAGTTTTTATAACTAAGAGTTGAAAATTTAAAACAAAGATTCTCTTAAATAATTCATACTGTAACCAAAAAATCTAAAAAATATATAAACACACTTATTTTTTACAGACATTTTAATTTCAAATTTAGATAAAATTTCATATTTAAACCAAGAATTACGATTTTAGTTATTTTGTTGTGATTGAATAATATTATTCGTGGGTACTTAAAACTTCTAAAGTGTATTATTATATATCTATGATAGTATCACGGTTTTTGTTGATGTATAACGCGTTATAAGTAGGTATCTAATGGATATTGTGATATGATTAGTTTGGAATTTATTATATGTACCTATATTATAGGTCAATTTTTTGTTTAATACCATAGATTTGTATATAATATGTCTTATACATAGACTGACATACCGTCACCACTCAGAATCGTTTTTCTTATACAATGATGTTATATCATTGAATTCAAATTTAATACCATCCATTATACAGTGACCCACTTGTAACCTACTGTACAGCAGAGCGACACCCACTTGCCCACCTTTTTTTTTTTATTTTTTTTTTTTTTGTGTCTGTGTACACGATAAGTAGTCGAAATAATGCTTCGATTTTCGACTTCAGTATCTTGTTCGATTGGAAAGTGAATCTAGTTGGTACTTTGGGGGGTCAAAAGTAGTTTTCAAAAGTGGCGTGAAAAACAAAATAAAAATTAAGGAAAAACGGGAATTTTTACACTAATATTTGTTTTCGAAAAAATCGATTTTGTTTTTGGTGCAACTCTTAAACAAATGACCGTAGGTACATGAAATTTTGACTGAATGTTTATATTAGCATTTTCTATGCACGATAACATGTTTTGATTTATTTTGAACTGTTTGGACACATTTTCATTCTCCATTTTTTTTTTAGTTTTTTTCTAAAAGTATTAATAAAATTGTATTTGTTGGTTAAAAAAGCTTGAAAATGTAATACAAGGCTCCTACTATATTGTTACAATGGCATTTGAAAAATATTAAAAATCCTTAGTCACAGTTTTTCTTTATAAGCATTTAAAGTTCAAAAATTGACAAAATATGGAAAAATCACGAAAATTAGCAAATTATTTTGAGTTAAGAATTCGTAAAAATTTTTCTTTTTAAATCTAAGATTTGAAAATGTAATACAAGGTTACTCATAAGTTTGTCTACCTTTATCAATAAAAAAATCTCTACCGGACAGTCAAATTAAATTTTTATGAGCGTTTGAAATTCAAATTTTTACAACATTGGATATTCACTTGATTTCTCATGTAATGATTTTCTTATTTTGTTGTAATTCAAAAACGAATAACTATAGATACATGAAAATTTCACTGAATGTTCAGATTAGCAACTCCTATACATTGTACAATTTTGAAAATATTTCGACTCTTTTTGAGCTGTTTACGGACATTTTCAGTTTTCAATTTTTTTAGTTTTTTTTTTCTATAAATATCAATTAAGTTTTATCTGTTGGGCCAAAAAGTGTAAAAATTTAATACAAGGTTCCAGATATATTGTTACAGTAGCAATTGAAAAATATTAAAAATACATAGGCACAATTTTTTTTTATAAGCATTTAAACATCGAATTTTGACAAAATTTATCAAAATCTCGAAAATTATCAATCATTGTAATTAATAAATTATAAAATGTTCAGTTTTTATAGCTAAAGATTGCAAATTTAAAACAAAGGTTCTCATAAATAGTTCATACTGTAACCAAAAAATCTAAAAAATATATGAACACAGTTATTTTTTACAGGCATTTTAAATTCAAATTGGACGAAATTACATATTAAAATCAATATTAACGATCTTTGTTTTTGTTGTAATTTAAAAATATTATTCGGGGATATATGAAACTGAAAAATCAAAATATTATGGCCTATCCATACAATCTACCATAGTATAAGGAATAAGAATTATGCTCATGATAAGACTGTGCATATTTTAAGAAATGTATTCATAAATTCCATATAATTTAATACCATAGAAAAGTATATAATATGTCTTATACCTAAACTGACATACCGTCTTCGCTCAGAATCGTTTTTCTTATACAATGATATTGTATCATTGAATTCAAATTTAATAGCATCCATTATACAGTGACCCACTTGTAACCTACAGTACAGCAGAGCGACATCCACTTACCCACCTTTTTTATGTATGAAATTATATTTTTCATAAATATTTATTTTATGTTTATACAATTGGCATGTTTCAGAATATTTCTGTATTAGTTGTACTAATATACAGTTGGATGATAAGTTCAAACATGAAAAATGCTGTTCATCTTCAAGATGTATTTTATGGTGAGTAAACGTAGTTTATTTAATAAAATATATTTACGTACATTTTAAATGTAATATACTACAAAATGAATATATCGTAATTTACATAATAAAGTGTACAATTTAAAGACAGTAAATTCCGATGCTAAAATTATGAATTTGCAAGAATTGTCCACTATTTATAAGTGTTCACATATTAACATATTATTTAAAAAGAATATACTTACCTTTTATCGTAATATTATTTATTTTACTACATTATTTAATGGAATACAACCATAAACTGAGCATCATCAATAATTAATGAGCAGACCCTATAATGTAATGCAAGGAAATTATATTATAATTTAATTTTAGTTTTATTTGTTTATAATTTAATTTGAGCCTTTATCGGGCATAGTTATATTTTATTTCCAATGGTTTATTTTTCGTTTCGTAACTAAACTCAATCAAATAATATTTTTTAAAAGCTGTGTGTTGGCGTTTGACATTTCTATACATTTTCCGGTTCATTTATATTTTATAAACATAGACGGATTACAACACAACTTATAACGAAAACGGAGAGCTGCATCTTTTGCTTTAATTTTCAATCAACTAAAATACCTCGTCGTATTCTATACCAGTATCATAAAAACGCCTAGATGGTATACCTACTGTGTTTAATACTGTTTCAGGCAGAAATGAATTTAATTATTCAGATTGTAATATAGTAAAGCCGTGTGATAAACTGAGGGCAAACTCTTAATGCGAAGTGAATTAAATGGCATGATAAAATATTTAAAACCTAAAATTGCTCGAGAAGAACTTTTAGCGCCGGAGCTAAAACTTGTTAGTCGCGGAAGCATTGCTCCGTCTTTGCCGGAAAATCTGGAAAAAGATTAAACTCAATGTACAGCTTCCCTGGAAAACGGTTATTAGCTTGTCGCGGATTTCTTAATGGATTACAAATTATATACAATTATATATACTTTCAATACTTTGGTATATATAATAAACAAACAGTATATATATTATGTACCTACTTTAGTCCCTAACTCTCGGTTTGTTAACTGACTTTTAAATGGTAAGCGCTGTGAGTGCATATACGACGATAGAAACCGAATAAAATCGCGTCGATATTTCTCATCACAGAGTTGTTAAAGATAGGTAGTAATAAAATTCGATCGTAAAAGACGCCCTTGTTCTGCCAGGCGTGTTGCGGCGGTCATTATCGGGAAAACGTCGACCTCGAAACACAGAAAAACCTAACTGCAGTAGTTTTCGGCTGATCGTCTTTTGCTGTTTCGTGATCCACAGGCACGTGGCCACAATAAACGTTCGGGAGGGTAATATTATAAAATAGGTCATTATACGAAGCTATTTTTATTTTTACACACCGACTATACAATTTTCTTAATTTATAACTAAGCAACAATATTGCTATATATACATTATGTACAATATAGTGTAGAACCTAAAATTAAACGAATATAGCACAGCCAAATTAGGATCTTACCGAGGAAAAATGGGTGCACACTAATGACTGAATGCTTTTGCGCAAACTTACACATTTATTACACCGTTATGTACTTATGTGACGTGACAAATTCCGGCCGATATCAAATGAGCTTCGAAGATTATTTGAGAGGTCAGAGGACACGTGAAAACATCACTAAGATAAATTTCTTGTTGGTAATGGTTTTACGATAAAAATAACTCATACAAAAATCGTAGGAGAAAAAACTGTCTACAAAAAAGTTATGTTTAGTTTTGTGCACAAGCTATTGTTCCCATTTGGCCTGTAAACCTGTAAACTGTTTTTTTTACTAAAAACAAATCACATTTTCGTAAATATCTTGGATTCTATTGATAGTACGATAGAACTATAGAAAAACCAAAAATATTGTTGACGAAAAAATTCTCTACAAGATGAATGCATTTTGTACTACGTACAAGTAACTGCTATTGCAGTATATTATGATATTATGTAAAATGTCAACCTACGACAAATAAAAGTATATAAATACATTATATAAGTACTATAATAAGTACATTAATGTTTTATTTGAGGTGTATGTTTTGTATTATCACATGATTTCTTCGATGCTTAATCTAAATACACAATGCACGTCTTCACGGAATTTTTTATTCCCCTTGGCTACGCCACTACTGCCACAATTATCATTATTATTATTAATGTTATAAAGAAAACATTTAGTTTTTACTGTCACTGCGTGCGATACAACTTTAACATTTTCAATAATGGAAAATACAAGATTTTGAGTTTATAATATCAAAATTATAACGTCTTATATCATGAAAACTTAAAGGCAGTGTATAAAAAAGAAAATTGCACTGAGAAGTAATTATACTCGTGAAATCGCGGAGACGTGACCGATATGTGTCAGGATATTGTAATGCTTTGTCATTGGAGTCAGAGAAAGCCAGAAAGGTAGATTGGTTTACAGTTGTTGTCATCGCGGTGGAATATGGAAAGGTTTATCTACCCGAGCAAGATGAATTTATATGCACGTGAATTAAAGGATTAATTATTGTTATTTTGGTCATGATGAAATAAATAAGCAATTTAGACATTAAAGTGTATAAAATGTATACGGCTTAACTTTTTTTAATTTGTACCCTCTAATAACACAAAAAATTCACCGATGATAGTAAATGTAATTCAGTTTCGAATGGCAGTTACAATAGTGGAGGTTAATGAAGGAGGGCAATGCCACTAGTAATTTAAAATCATTTCACCATTTTTAACTGATTAACTACCTAAGTATTACCTATTAATTCAACGCACCTTGTCTTCTACCTAAGAGGAGGTATGGAAATGAGTGCATTCGTATTAATTGTATAATCGTATATAATCGTGTTTTTTAAATATTGACAGTTGAAATTGTAAACCGTAAACCACAAAAACGCACTTGTTCATAATAAATTTAATAAACAATAAGCATTACTTTTAAAAAGAATTTTTTCTTCTTCAATTTTTGTCGAGTAAATCTTATCAAACCAATAAAAAGCTAGATATTTGACATTAGATCATGGTACCTATTAAACATTTTAAATAGATAACACTATATAATGAATAAATAGCTTATACATAAAAAAAAAAACCATAACAGGTAGGTACAATTTTTATTTGTAGACGATTTTTTATTCTACGATTTCTGTTTGAAGCCTTTATTGTAATCGTAACACAAATAGAAAGCGAGATTTTTTTTTAAGTTATGGTTTCGCCGTATTTATACGTAACCTTTGAACTCAAATAACCTTTGAAGCTCACAATATGATATCCATGGGAAATGTTCACGCGTTTTTCGTAAAGGTGCGTAGTAATACAGAGACAATCAAATAAGACTAATTTCCCAGATCAATACAAATTTAAATGTTCAGATCCAGTACGGCGTACCGTATAGATAATTGTATTAATTATTGCATTCGCTCGAACCCCATAATACTGTTATTGTCTTACGCGTTTTAAGTTGAAAAATGTTCTATAATATTATATGGGAGAGTGCTGCGGTTGGGTCTCGACGGACTATTCGACCAACCTCCACCACCCACCCATCCCACCAAACCCCATGGCCGCGAGCCCGATAATACACCGTTTAATATACGTACAATTTATTATGGATAAAACGGGCGGTACTAGCCATTAATGCAACGTCTATCGATTACGCGATATGCGCGAACGGCGTGCGAAATATTTGCCGGTTCGTCTCTAATGAATGAATTGATCAGACCGTGTAATGTACACAGTGCAGTTTATCCGGCCGACGACGTATCGGCGGAAGCAGCGAAACTATAATTGATTAAATTCGACGATCCGCGTTTCGTATAATAATATTATATATGTGCACACGTAATATAACATGACGTATTATATACGCACGCGACCAGTGATGGTACACGAGGTCTGAACCCACACCCATATCCACCGCCAGCATCTCCGATATTATAAGATCGTATCGCAGTGAACCCTCCACCCCCACCCCTCGTTCTATCGAACCCCCTCCTTAACTTTCTTCCCCCCACCCACCCACGACATCACTGTCTATATTATACCGTACCCCCATTTAAGATGGGCCCCACATATTATACTTCTACCACACCAACACCCGCACACCACCCCCCGCGCCCTACGTGATCTTCTCTCTCACTATTTTTTTTGTTTTTATTTTCTTCAACGTCGCCAGTTGTTCGGTAAACTTTTTTAAGGGCCCGGTGATAAGTAGTTGCCACGGGTGAGGCTGAACGATTTCGATTTTCAATATCGGTTTTCATTTCATGTTTTTTTATTTTTTTTTTTTATCTATAAGCTCACGTTCGTCTTAAGCCATTCTCTCGCGGACGTGTCCTCTGGCCCGGCAATTAAATCGAACACTATTAAAAGTTATCCGTCGCCACTTTTCGAATCACCGCCCAAAACCCGAGGTTTGGAGAATAACTTTCGAGAAAAAATATGGCATAAAAGCCAAAGTTTTGGACACAATTTAATATAACCATCCAGCCGAACTATACAAATTTATAAAAATATGTTAAGTATTTTTTTATGACTTGCAATGGTATATCATTTTAAAAAAATAAACACTAAAAATAAAATAATAAATGGCATTAGTAAATTACAACTTTAAAAAATATATGACGTTGTTCTATATTGATTCCGGATTATTTTTTTGTTTTAAATTCGATTAAATATTTCTAGGTCAATTTTCAGCACTATAATTTGATTCTTATATATTAATTATGATATATTTTTATGATTTAAAAAAAATAAAACACTTTTATTCGTAAGTGGTCAAAATGGTTAATCTTACCTATCTATAGAGATCTACCTTTACCCAATTTAATATATTAGTTAAATGGAATTAGATGAATTGATATATTGCATAATTCATTATATTAAGACACTTATCTTTAATGTATGCTGATTATAATTAATATCTTGTTTCCGTTTTATCTGCTAAGTAATCTCCATAATTATTAATGAATTTCTGTAACCAATACCCAGCAGATTTGAATAATTTACCATTCAACCGCTGTTTAGGACTTGAATCTCCGATTGTTATTTAAGTGGTAGCCGCTGCATAATATTTTATTATTATTTTATCGCTTAAACTTCAATTTAAAACAATGTGATTAAAATTCGCCGAGCGGTTTATTATAATAAGCTCGACAACATTGTATTCTTATGAATTTTCTAATATTTTGAAATCCAAACTATTTAAAAAGTGTAGAACTGTCATTATTCAATAATCTATAACTTATAGGTAGTCGTGGAATGCATTTTATATAAAAATAAATAAATAAAAAATGTATAATGGCATTTTAAATTAATATTGATCTCTGTTGTCACCACGGTATTCCCGTAGGCGTATACTATAGTTGATGGAACTGAGCATATACAATATATAACCTTTGCATTACGTCATGATCAACTCCTACCTTCTGACCCTTTAGATAACCATCTATACCCATCTTATGCGCTGGTACATAAAATACAATTGTTCAGACTACTATTTGATAAACGCCTATTTTGGTCTCTGGACTGTTCACACTCACACAACTATTGACTATCCTAAAACCATCAACTTGTATACAATTATATATTATTCTGAATCTAGCAATGAATTCATGCTTAAAATGTAAAAAGAAAAAATTCAAAATCCTTTTAGAATGTAGGTATACATCTTAAATTATTGATCGGAAACACTGCATTCAACCATCTAAAAAAAATAATATTCATTCAAATATCTTCGACTCGTCGTTAACACTGGTCAAATAGTCACTACAGCACCAACACTGCAGTTTCACTCAAACAGAAGTAGACGATATTATTTTTTAAGATACCATAACTCCTTTTAGGAAAATCGTTTTAGAAACGTTATTAAATACATGATAATCTGAAAAAATAGTTATGATCGAATTGAATAACAAGAACGCACAAAATAATCAGAAACTAGATAAATCAATTGTTTTAGTATTAAATAAACAACTAGTTTAACCGTATTAATATTAATAAATATTAAAAATATATATTTATTAGTTCCATAATAATACATTTATAGGTTCTATTTTGAATCGATGGACTAAAATAAAGTTTAACTTAAATAGTAATTTATTATATTGTTCGTTTTCTTTCAATTTAACGTAAGAAGATAATAAAAAATAAAAAATAAAACATTTATGTATTGGTATTGTAACTAAATTCACGTCAAGTTAAGAAAAAAAAATGATAATACAATAGGTAGCCCGACCTCCGATATGCAGTAAATGGATTACACGATCGAAACATTACTTATCAATGGACCATTTCTATTGTTTGGAACTAATATTTCTTATTTCCTAGACCGTAACACGTAACTACGAGACTTAAGATTTACTACATAATGCCTTTTTTTTTCCACGAGAGTTTTAGAAATATGTAGTTGTAATACTAATAAAACTCAAGAGAACATCCACCTACTAATAACCACTAAAAACTCAATTTAGTTAAAAGAAAAACATAATATATCTACGTATTTTCAACCTTTCGATTTTGGCTAATCGATCGTCCTTCATATTATCATACATTTACTTTGAATGCAAATATAATGATAACATTGTAAGTTACATTATAGTATGAAAAATAAAATAAAATAACTTATCCACTATCATAATATAATAAAAATTAATTTAAAAGTGTTCATATTATGATTAGTCTTAAATCGTTCCCATAGTATATGAGCTATTTACATTCTATAATAAGTAGGTACTTACTATTATTTCTTCTTTAGATTATCTATGAATTCATTTTTAAGCTATAATTGGGTAACTTTTATCGTGGGCCTGGCGTGGTGACTGAAAAAAATATTTTCGTAACGAAAAAGCGTGACCATAAGATGTTATCAGTGCCGTAACTAGAGAGTCAAAGGCCCAGGTGCAAACAAAATGCATGGGCCCCTCTTTCTGGAGATACATAAAAAAAACTTGTAAAATAAACTACATAGGTAGATAAAATAAATAAATTACAAAAAAAAAATAATAATTTTAGTTTTCATGACAACAGTTTTCATTATAACACTAGAAATAAAAATAAAAATAATTATAACTATCATTATATTATAATAATATACCTATTGGCTATTACATATTTTATAATGTTTAATTATTAAAAAAACATTTTCTTCCGAGCTTTTGCATTTGCAAAATCAGCAATAACCTTTTTGATATTAATTTCATCAGTACGACCTCTTTCAATACTTAATACTGATATATTACGTCTTAATCTTTCTTGGGAAGTAGAATTTCTCAAGTAATTTTGAATAGCTGGACTTAGATATTTAATGTGGCCATCTTTTTTATCAAGAAGTGTTCTTAAAAGTGGGTCAAATTCTGCAAATAGTTTTACTGTTCTAAGAAAATTTCCCTCGAATTTTTAGCCGATACGTATATGATATGGAATGGTAAACAAGCCGACCCCGCGTAGCGTCTCCAGCACGATTTAAGATAGTACAAACAATTTGTTAGTGTGTGTGTTAGTAGCGGTATCGCGATATCACGTAAAATAATCAACAAATCTATTTATGTTACTCTTGGCTTAGTAAATTTCCCAATATTTTGATTAACAATTCCAAGTAACGGACCAGGCTATTAGTTTTTACATTGCCGTTTATGAAATTAAATACAAGATAATAATACAATTATTATGAATTAAATTTAAAAAAAAAATGACATCTATCCGACCAAGGCCCCAAGGGCCCTTTGACCCTGCGGGCCCCAGTGCTGTGCACCGCCTGCACCTATGATTTTTACGGCACTGGATGTTATCACAGTTATTATACATATATCTGTGAATGTTATTATTATTTTTGTTATTTACAGTCTGACCAGTTGTCTAAGAAAAAAAAGTCTCAAATAAAATATTTCTGTTGGGTGTTTATCTACCATCATCAAAAAAAAAACTCATTTTGTCATATCTTTTCGGTCCTCGTGCTCAAAAAGTTTAACTTGAATTCATATCATACAAAAGTAAATAGTTATAATTACATAATACATAGCTACAAAATGTCTATGCAATAGCTTTACCATGGTAGTCCCCGAATGCCTAATACTTTTTTTTTTTAATGTATGGATACAATGGATTGTAAAATGCCGTATATAGTGTATTCAATAATTATTATTAACCGTCATACACAATTAACTATTAAGTCGTAAAACTGTATGGTAACCCTTACTATGCTAGAGTTTAAATGTTTAGTATAATATTATGTATTTTGACAATATATTTACTTCAATAGGTCATAAGATAAGTAGTATTTTAGTAGGTAGGTATTCAATTTTATTATTTTTCGTTTTACATCATTTTAATTTAATTAATCCACAAAATCCGTTACATACTAAACAATAAGCATAATGGATGAAATAATGAAATACGTGATCATACAGATACAATAAGACAATATAACTGCTTTTATTGTAGGTAAGTTTTGAAAAATAAAGCAACATATTAGGCTTTATTTGGTTAGTTATTTTTTTTAATAATAAGCCTACAGACAACAATAATATACGTCATTACAACAACAAAATATCTAAATATAAGACGAGTTATTATTTTAATCAATTTTCAAGTAAAAATATAATAATATTTTAATGTACAGGATTTCATTATAAAAAAAAGTTGAGAAAAATAATTATAAAAGATATATAATATAAGAAATCTGTCTCCGTTTAAGATTAATTGCTTTTATTCATATTTTTTTATCTGTTAATATATTAATATTTTATACGGTTCAGTCGAAAATATCTTAATCTGATATTTATTGTTCGTAAGTCATAACTTACAAACAACCTCAAATAAAATAAAATTTATGTATTTCCTTTGGAAAAAAATATTAAAAATAGATTTACAAAATTGGGGACATAAATATTGTAATTTTAATAAACATAAATTTTGTTTTACAAAAACAAATAAATTTCGTACTTCAACACATTTAAGTGTGATTATAAAAAGTTGCACAAATGTCTTTGAATTTAGTAGCTTTATCACATGACATGCATTGTATTATTCATAGATATTAAAGAATGGATAGGCCATTTGTGTTTATCATAAGGGAATGATCATGAAAAAATTTTGAGGTTATAGAGGTCTTAACACAAATAGATATATATATATATATACTATTGTATATAATTTATGATAATACCTCTGCCAGAATGAGATACAATCATAAAAAATAGTCTTTCTCTCTTCCCCATTCCGGCACACGACTCTCTATTTTATTGATGTAGCCATGGCCTATCCATTCTTTAATATCTATGGTATTATTACAACATTTGAAAACGGAGTGGAGACCAGATATTTTGTCTCACACGGTGTATGTTTATATTTCTTCAATGTTGTAAGCTGAACTCACAATTTTCTTGACTTTGAAGATTGCCTACTCCTGGGAAACTTATAAATACTGCTTATTTAAAGTACCAGCTGATGATACATTTGTGTCACTACACAATAACTGCCTATTAAATTAAACTAATGCATATTTACTCATTTATTACAGGTGTTCAAATCGCGTACTCGGCCGTAATTGGAACAAATTTGTTCATCTTCGCTGCCAGTGTCATATTACTCCTTGGAATCGTCAAAGTAAATATTACTCATTTATACTAAGATCGTTTTATTTTGAAGGCAAACAATCCATATAACTTGCAGATGCCATTATCAACAATTCAACATGACTTTTACAATGTCGAACTTTTCTTTTCCCTTCAGTATATTTTCCTTATTTTCATTTTGGCTTTTTTTTATTTATTATTTTCTTTTCTATTACAAATAAAATCAGGACCGAATACTAAAGGCAACATCCATTTTATTTACTTTTATATCGGGAGAAGTAGTAAGCTACACTGTATGTGTGAAGACGTATTGAATTAAAAACGTATTCGGATTCGTTTTTATTGAGCGGACGGTTGAATAAAACATTTATTTCTTATTAGTTAACACACAAGTATATAAATAATCATAAAATATAACAAATAACTCAAACAAAAATGTATAAAACACATAAATTAGATTTATCGTAATTATAAATTTAAATATCACTTTCAGATCAATCTTGATTTAAATTTTAAACATTAACTTAACATTTAAATGATATGCCTCATGCAATTATTAAATTGTATAGATATTAAAATAACGAATATTTTTTGTTATTCTCAAATTGAAAGATTAAACGAGTCGTGTTTATTTTAATGATTCCCAACGAGTTTATATATATAAATATATGTTTTATACAATTGACCAACCCTCCTTGAAATATTTCATGATCGTATCGAAAACATATTCTACTATAAACTAAACGTTCGTAAAAAAACCAACATCAATTTTCACAAGAAAATAGAAGATCCAACGTCACATATAACATTTTACCAAAGTATATATTATCATATGCCTAACATAAAACTTTGTTTGACTTAGATATATCTCATTAACTAAAATTCAAATATTTGAAAACGGTTTCACAAATAACGTATAGCTTATTGATAAGACATTTAATACCTCGACTCAACCCGAGTAAATAATAATTTAAATGGAAATTATGCAATGACATTTACTTAAGTACTTATGTCAATAATGATAAAAACCTTGTTTGTTCAGTAACTCAACTGTATATTAAGTGGCCCAAAATAATAAATGGTACACGTACAACATAATTAATGGTCTATATAGAACTATATAATAAAATGTGCATATAAATGGAATGCATTAGAATTTTTACAAGTAACCGTTAATATTATTTGAGCGCCTTATCATTAAACCGTTCCTTAGTCAATCGGGCCTTATAATTGGTTTATATGCATTTAAGACCGGATTCGCCACTTTCAAAGCCCAGGGGTGTAACATCTCGAAAGTTGGTATAGTCTTGATTTCCAGATATAAAATAAAATTAGGATTGGAAATGATTAAAAATCTCAGGGAATTGGCACAGGATCACTCGAATAAGATCGTTCCCGGGAATATAGAACAATTAAACCGTATATTTTTAATAAGTAATTTTTTTTCAATAACTAAATATTCAAATATTAATAGGAAAGTACTTTATAATATTTTTAGTCAAATGGTATATTAAAATATTACTTATTATAATAGAGCAATGGTATCCATGCCCAAATAAATATTAGCCAGTAAATCAAGTAAATGTGAATTGTTCCACTGTTACCTATATAACTTGGCTATGTTTGATGAGGTGAGTTCTTGGTTCTAACCGTTAGAGTGTAACGTATGTAATTATTATGGTAATCATGGTGTTCATGGTATTCATGGTAACTACAGTTACACTGTGTTACTGTATATTGTATAACCACAGAACAACTGTTGGGTTAGATTATTTTAGGTGTCTCTTGAATTATAATAATTAGGTGCTTTAGGAAAATATATTATACATTTAGGTATTCGGGACACGAATATAATGTAAGAAGGTTGAACAAGATATGTTGCCAATAGCGATTATGAAATCTTCATATAACAAGTTCTCGTTTATATAGATTAAAATTGCTGCTATTTTTGTGGAATTGAGTTACTTACAACAATAGAAGCAAATTATTTTTTAATGTTGTCCACGTTAATATGAGTTTCTGGAAGTTTAATAGAGGTGATGTTTTTCGTTATTCACTGACGCTACTCTACTATGTAGGATTTGATGTGTTTTTTTTTTTTTGGTAGGACCGGTGTAAATATAGTGTAAGATGTATTGGTTGTTGTCATTTTATTTTTAAATTGTTGGGATCATTAGATCGTCATAATCATTTACTGGCGTATGTAATGGTTTTTTAAATCCGGCTGTTTTAAATAGATTTTTAAAATTATTTGTTTATTATTTCAATTACTTATTATTCTACATTAAAAATACTAAACTTTTAAAAGAAAATCGCAACATTCTTGTTTCGCACTTGTAAGTTAATTATGTATTTTTATATTGATGGAAAATATGATGCCATCCATTTATTTATGCTCCCGGCCAACCCTGAAAATTCCTGTAATTTCCCGCCAAGTTAAGTTTCCAGAAACTGCTCAACCCTACTAACGACAAACTAATGAACAAATAGGTAATTACAAAACATTCAAGTACCTACCTCTTTAATATCGATGAATAGCTGTATAATGTATAAGACGTATCTTAATACTTATATAGCAATAGACATATAGCTAAGTATGCTACCAACTTTTCTGCTATTCGTATTATATTTTTCTGCATCAGCCAACCTTATCGATACTTCAATAATAGTATTTCAAATATCCGCTTATATTTCATTATTACAACGCTATTTCTCCATATCATAATAAATATATTAGGTTATACCTAGTAACTTAGCTAGGTATTAAATATTAATTATGATTTAAATCATTTAAATAATATGTATTTTATTTAAAACTTATAAAACGAATTTATTTTTTATTAAATATTTAACTTGGTCTACGAGATATTATATGAGATTAAATAACTACTTTAGTAATAGAGTAGGAATTAATAACCTAACAAATATTATAAACACAAGTTTTCTGAAATATTTATAATAACTCAACGATACAAAATGTAGTAGGTAAATAAGTTTACATAATAATTTTTCATTAAAAAATTTAACATTTGTGCGTTTGTTTAAACTTTAAAATTAAAATGCTGTTGATTTGTATTACTGATGTGAATTCAAAATTGTTTGTGTATATAATGTAGTTATATATAGTAAAGTTTTCAAAAATACATACCTAGTCTAAAATACTAAATACCTACTACTTTTTAATCATTTAATTTCTAACGTATAGTCAATTACGAGGAATATTACAGGAATAAAAGTTCAATAGTAACGTTATCTCTACTAAATTCACTTTACTGATGACATTTCTCACAACACTGATGTTCAATTAATGGTCAATATTATTGTATTATGTACGGCCAGCCAAATAATCACCATAGTCCCAAGTACATATTGTAATTAAAATCAATGAGTTTACATATCACTACCCTTGTCGCTACGGCCGTTACCACTTTAACGTGGTTTTAACCTTAGTCCGCTACCCCTGACATCACCACCTCGTCGTCCACTTCCAACGCAACGACCCCAGTGATACATCAGCTTGTGGCCTACCTGGATCAGTATGGTATGTTCGCTTTTTATTTTACTTTTCGTAAATGAGCTCCTTCAACATCAGTCTATGTCACAATGAAACATTCCTACTCTTACATCGTATCAATGTTCTACCTATATAATGTACTTGCATTATTTTAATTCAAAATTTCCCATGAAGATACAATCAATCTGTGTCATGCTTTCCACACTTATGTAAAACATTATTCGTTCTTCTTTCATTTACAAGACGATAATCAATCATACTAAACAAACTGTAAAACTTAACGCTGGTTTTCAATTTTATGTTAATTTCCCAAATCAGAGCTTTTCACTACATCTATATTGGATTTACTTCGATACCCCGAGACATATTACATTCAATCAGTCATTATTCATTAGTCATTACACTTAACACCATCTATAACATTATAACCTAGTCTAATATTCCAGTCCAAAGAACTAGAAAAATTTATTATTTATCGAAACTATAATAAACACAATAGGTAATTTATTGTAATTAATTAATACCTACCTATATACGGAAATTAAATAAAAATACACATGATACAGAGCTAAGATATGAATTGTAAAAATAAAAAATCCAAACCAGACACCAAGCTGGGTGTTAAGAATTCACATATAATTATTGCTTACTTCATTCAGAAATACCAATTCCAAATCAAAAACTAAAAACAAATGTGCTAAAATCCTAAACCAATAAAACCCATAAATATATGACGAGTATTATTAGAGCTTCACTATGTAGCAATTAAAAATAAATTATTGAGTTGTTAATAATTAATAAATATTTTTATGATTAGACAGATGACAACTATTTACGTTATTTTTATGTATCATCAATTCTAAAAATGTGTTATAAATAATTTTTAAAAATGTATTATTATTAATAATTGTGTATGACTACAACCGGGCATGTATTTTGATATTTTAAATAGTACTTGATATATTTGTAGTTTATATAAATTGGGTACTTGCTGATTTAAATTGAGCTACAAATAATATCTCTGATGTATTCAGTTATTTCCAATATATACCGTATATATATATTATATAACTTCAAAATTTATAACCTATAAAAAGTGGATTAATCTTTTAAATTTAATTTCAAATCTAATCGTTTGAACATCATAAAAATTCTTTCACTTTATTTATTACGCTATCTAATATTAAAAATGTATTGGGGGTGTTAAAACCATACTTACTTATTTTCAGTAAAGTGTCTACAACTCTTAATTGCATTTTTATATTAACGTTTAAAATTTATAACATTCCGTCAAAATGACGCCGATGAGCTCTTGTTTTTTTCCAACAACCTACATATTTACTTACAGACATTACTTTTGTATTTGTTATGTGCCTATTATACTACACCAACTATTAAGATATAAAATACAATCTACAATATTATTATTTTTAACTTAAAAGTATTTTTTAACAATTTTAATTTCAATAGTTAAATAGTTATAACATAACAATTAAACTCTAAAGTAGGTAAAAACT